GAACTGTGGTCAGTTGCCACCTCATGGTCTGTCCCTGGGGGTGACAGGAGTTGAGGCGTCAGGAAACCTGGGCTGTAGGTGAAGAGGGGAGATTGGGAGATGGTGGATGTTTGTGGACTGGTGCTGGCAAGTCCATAGGCAGCGGACTGTTCCTATGCTGTTGTGTGAACAGTTCCTTTATCCTGTGGCGTTGCACTTGTGAGAGTCTTTAACATTTTTCTAGACGTACTAAGTCAAAACAAGTATAATCAGTGGTGTACTTAAGATAAAATGAGAGGTAAAATTGTTTGCATATGATTGTGAGGATTCTAATCTTCTCTGAGAGAAAAATTTTATGTAATGTTATAGAATATATCTCCACTGTTAATCCAATTACATGAAAAACCCTTAGAATCTTGAGAGACCATGTCATCTGTCAAACTGAGCACACTGGACCATCTTCTACAGGTATGGATAGACACAGAAAAACAATATAGCACATACAAGTCCACAATCCAGAGATGGGAGATCAGCCTGCACCACTAATGCCCAGGAAAACAGGGTTGGGTAATAATGTCCCCAGAAACAGAGTACTGTACAGAACCCTAAAACATGTTCCCAGAGAGAATGAGACAATATTGTAGATAGTATTTATATTACAACAGGCTACAGTCAGGAAGAAACCACAAAACATCACAGAAACTTTGAAGCTGAACAATATATTTCCAACAGGAGAGAAACAGGGAAACTTGATAGCGTAATCGTTTCCAAAGTAGGCTAAGGTAGACCATCTGAAGGATGGCTCAAAACATTGTCATATAACCCAGAGCAACAGCCAAATACATGAACGTTATAAAAGACACCTAAATACCTAAATATATCTAATAGGTATTTTAAAATTAAGAACAACTGAAAAGAGAAAGGTAACTTTTTTTTAAAGTACAAGAGAAGTGCTTATAACAGCCTTGAGTCATTGGCATATGAAGATTCCTCCAGCGCATGGACAAGAATAACAAGAGACTTGTCATTAGACATTTTCAATGTCAACTACCTACAAGTAGAACACTCTTTTTAAATGTTGTTGACATACAAATCAACAGAAATTCAAACCTGTCAATGTAAAATCTTTGCTACCCTGTAGCAGATTCTGAAAATGGCAAACTACATTACTCAGATCAAGCCTACTTAAAACAGTTATAAATGTGGATAACTTCCTAAAAAGCATAAAAATGGCAAGAAATTACCAATTTTGAGAATGTTTGGCTTTCACCATACATACTAGTAGCTCAGGGGAAGGTGGTTGACTATGGATATGTGCTGTAGATAGAGCTAAAAGAAATGCATGCTAGATTGAATGTGTTATGAAAAAGTGGGGCTGGCGCCGTAGCTCACTAGGCTAATCCTCCGCCTGCGACGCTGGCACACCGGGTTCTAGTCCCAGTCGGGGCGCCGGATTCTGTCCTGGTTGCCCCTCTTCCAGGCCAGCTCTCTGCTGTGGCCCGGGAGTGCAGTGGAGGATGGCCCAAGTGCTTGGGTCCTGCACCCCATGGGAGACCAGGAGGAAGCACCTGGCTCCTGGCTTTGCATTGGCGCGGTGCACCACCCACAGTGCGCCGGTCGTGGCAGCCATTTGGGGGGTAAACCAACGGAAGGAAGACCTATCTCTCTCTCTCTCTCTCTCACTGTCTAACTCTGCCTGTTCAAAAAAAAAAAAAAATTGAAAAAGTGGGTCAGGAGGGAAGTAAACCATGACTCCAAGTTTCTTTAGTCTGAGAAGACAGAAGGAGTTGTTATATGTAGAAATGAAAATTCTGGAAAGGAGAGATTTGTAAGAAAAAATAGATATTGAGTATTTTGACATATAAATGGAACATTCTTAAAGATAAATGAATTTTGCTGATGAACTACTATGGATTTCAGAGTGCGGAGCAGATGGATCAGTGAATTTGGTGTAATAGGACAGTAAATGGTTATACAGGGCCAGTGTTGTGGTGTAGTGGGTTAAGCCACTGCCTGCAACACCGGCATCTCATATGGGTGCCACACTGTGTCCTTGCTGCTCCACTTCCAATCAGCTCCCTGCTAATGGCCTGGAAAGCCAGCAGAGGATGGTCCAAGTGTTTGGGTTCCTGTCATCCATGTGGGAGACCTGGAAGAAGTTCCTGGCTCCTGGTTTCAGCCAGGCCCAGCCCTGGCCATCGCAGCCATTTGGGGAGTGAACCAGCAGATAGAACTCTCTTTCCTTCTCTCTCTGTAATTCTGCCTTTCAAATAAATAAATCTTTTAAAAAAGCTATACAAGCCTTATTTGTTAAGAGTCTTACACTGAGGAATGACTCTTGAGGAAAGACCTGGAAATAACAGATACTATACAGACAGCTGTCATCAGGGTAAAGAGATAAAAGATTTTTGCCCTGATGGTTTCATGATTTATTAGTGTACTGGCACTGTAAGTATTGTGAGAAAGGAAAACATCTTGCCACACCTTGTGAAAAACATGCATTATCCTATATATGCATCATCAAAATTTTAATTCAATAAGACAAACAATTTCTAGTATAGTTTCATTTGCATTTGTATGTCAGTAGTGAAACTGATCTTTATTCCAAAATGTTTAAAAACCCTATCTATGTTTCTGTGAACTTCTCATTTCTCCATCTCCATCACATTGTTGGCCATCTTTACCGATTACAAATTTCTTTATATATTCAATTGAATGCTTTGACATGTGTTGTATCACTGTTTTTCCTGGTTTATCTTATGACTTTTTTATGCTATTTTTTTAATTAACAGAAACTTTACTTTTCAGGTAATAAAATTTACCACTTTCTCCTATACATATAAAAGTATATATTTTTCATTCTATTAGTATTTTTGGAGATTTGCAATTATTAGAATTTAACCTGTATTTCAGACAAAATCAAGAGGACCACCTTAGGGTGTCTCTGTTATTAGCCATAGAGTCCAGACATGCACCAAGAGCAGTTAACTGGACAGATGGCATAGCATACTGGAGAGGACCTGAGTATTACTTCAGCATATTAGGAAACAGATGGTCTGGGCTGTGTGTGTCATAATCAATGGACCTAATATCTTTTTTTTTAAAGATTTATTTATTTGAAAGTCAGAGTTACACAGAGAGAGTAAAGGCAGATGGAGAGAGTCTTCCATCCACTGGATCACTCCCCATTGGCCACAACGGCCAGAATTGCTGTGGCACAGCAAGTTAACCTCCTGGCCTGAAGCACCAGCATCCCATATGGGCACCGGTTCGAGACCCGGCTGCTCCACTTCGATCCAGCTCTCTGATATGGCCTGGGAAAGCAGTACAAGATGGCTCAGGTCCTTGGGCCCCTGCACCCGCGTGGGAGACATGGAAGAAGCTCCTGGCTCCTGGCTTCGGATCGGCACAGCTCCGGCCATTGCGGCCAATTGGATAGCAAACCACTGGTTGGAAGACCTCTTTCTCTCTCTCTCTCTGCCTCTCCTCTGTATGTAACTCTGACTTTCACATAAATAAATCTTTAAAAAAAAGATTTGTCAGATCCTCAATGACATTTTTAAAATGTAATTTTAAAGGCAGGCCATTTGGCACAGCAGTTAAACCATCTACTTGGGACTCACCCATCGCATCTCAGAGTGCCTTGGTACCAGTCCTGGCTCTGCTTCCAATTCCAGCTTCCTGTTCCTACGCACCCTGGGAGGGTGTGGATAATGGCTCAAGTACTTGGGTCCCTGCCACCCATGGGGGAGACTTAGATTGAGTCTCAGGCCATTGGCTTTGGCCTGGCCCAGACCCAGCTGCTGTGGGAATTTGGGTGAGTGAAACAACAGAAGTCCGTCTCTATCTTTCACATAAAATGAAAATAAATAATACTTTTAAAAAATTTAATTTTATGGGGCCGCCGTCATGACACAGTGAGTTAATCCTCCGCCTGCGGCACCCGCATCCCATATGAGTGCCACTTCTGGTCCCAGCTGCTCCTCTTCAAATCCAGCTCTCTGCTGTGGCCTGGGAAAGCAGAAGATGGTCGAAGTCCTTGGGCCCCTGCACCTGCATGGGAGACCGGGAAGAAGCACCTGGCTCCTGGCTTCAGATAGGCACAGCTCTGGCTGGTGCGGCCATTTGGGGAGTGAACCAATGGAAGGAAGACCTTTCTCTCTGTCTCTCTCTCTCACTGTCTGTAACTCTACCTCTCAAATAAATATTTTTAAAAAATTAATTTTATACCATCAGATAAACAGATAAAGAAAACACACAATGGAATACTTGTTGAGCAAAAAATGAAATCCTGTCATTTGCAGCAAATGTATGGGATTGGAAGACATTGTGTTAAGTGAAATATGTTGGACACAGAAAGACAAATACCACATGTTCTCCTGCATATGTGGGAACTAAAAAAAAAAAACAAACCCTCAATCTGAATATAGAAGACTCACTGCTAGTGGTTGGGGTAGAACTGATAAAAGGGAGCCTGCATTAAAAAAATGAGGGGAAGCTGGGTGAGGTTCATTAGTTGTGACAAATATATATTAATATAACAATAATATGGGAAGCTGGGTGTGGTTTGCAGATTGTGACAAATATATCACACTAAGGTGTTAACAACAGAAGAAGCTGAGTGTAGGATATATGGGAATCCTGTTACTTCACAATTTTTGTTTGTAAATTTAAAATTTCTGAAATTAAAAGTTTGAAAACTTAATCTTAGTTTCAATCTTATTTTTATCCAAAGAATGATGAGATGGGCAGTTAATCAGATTATTATGGAGGAGCTGTCATGGTTTTATTTTTCCTTCCATCCTCATACGTATGTTGTGGTGCACTTGATTTCTCACACTTTATAATCTCATATTTTTCATTAGGATGAACAATTCTTATTCCATAAGGAATAAGTGTTAATCAAACTTTTTTACATTAATTTACATGATTTTTTTTCCATTTATTTTTGAATTGATCATTGTTAAATTTTTTCCATAAATAAGAATGAACCTGGAGAATAAAATAACAATTGTGATGGCTAATATTTATGAAGCATTTATTATATAACAGGCACAGTTATAAAGTCCATAACAAACCTCTGAAGTACTCTAATTATGCCCACATTACCATATGTGCATCACATATGCATATAAAAGGATCTGGTTAGAGTGAGTTGGTTAACATAGTGGAGAAAGTGAGGTCAGGGCTGTTGGTCAAAAAGAAGTACAGCTGAATCCATAATGTATAAATCTTTTATAAGTAAAAGAAATCCACACATTATCTCTGAAATGAAGGATAAATAAACAATGCACACACATTAGTGTAAACGTTTATAATGGCAAAATTTTCAATATTTGACAAGCAGGTGGATACTATAAAGCCAATAAAATAGTAACAATGATTTACAGAAAAAGAATATCAAAGGCTGGTTATAGTATATCATAATCACACTTTGTTTCAAAAACAATGAGATAAAGTCTTAAAGGGTTTGCTCCAAGTTTGACAGTGATAATCCATGATTGAGAAAGCTATACATAACCATATCTATTTTGATGTTCTTATTTACATTTTATGGAGGGGAAGTTGTTTTGAAAAATGAAGAGTATAATATTTATAAAAGGAAAGTAAAAGTCTTCCAAAAGGTTCAGATTCATCAGATAATGATAGATAATTAAAGTAACAGTTACCTACTATAAACAGTGTGAGACAGCAATAGGAGCATGTGCAAATTTAAAAACCACTGATCTGATATCCAAGCCTCATACGAACAAAAATATAACAGCATCAAATAGCCAATAAGAAATATTAAAGTAGACAGAGTTATTGAACAATGAACAGTGTTAGGATAAGGTCTAGGGGAGGGAAATGCTAAACTTAGACTTTCAATAAATAAAATCATTTTGAGATGGATCAGTAATTTTCAATAATACATAAATATTTAAAATTTAAAGTAGCAGGGCTAACACGAAATTAATCTTTTGATGTTTAAAATAAAGAAAAAATACATTAAGTGTGTTGTTTAAATTTTTAACATTCATGAGTAAGAATTTTTTGAAAGTAACAAAAGAGTGTAGCTAAAGATCTTAAAACATTTATTTTATTCAGAATAATCTTGATTTTTCTTTCTCTATATGAACTCCCTTAGGCTGATGAGCTTATGAAACACACGTAAGGCATTTGTGCTTTAATTACATTTGACATGATTTTCATTGGTTTGAATTTTCTTTTGTCATGTGTTGAAAGTCCTTTCTTTACCATATAATTTCAATTCATAAGTTTCCAGTTCACAGTTTCTCACCACTAGGATTTTTCTTATGCTGCTGAAAGTTCTGAACCCCTCTGAAAAGCCTTCCCACATTCCTTATATTCATAACGTTTTGCACCGTTATGAATTCTCTGATGCTGAGTAAGGCTCCAGCCACCATGAAAAGCTTTCCCACATTCCTTACATTCAAAAAGTCTCTCACCAGTGTTTTCTCTGGTGCCTGTTAAGAGCTGATCCACTATTGAAGGACTTTCCACATTCTTTACATTCATAGGGTTTCTCATCAGTATGAATTAGCTGATGCTGAATAAGCTTTGAGCCACTTCCAAAGGTCTTCCCACACTCCTTACATGCATAGGGTTTCTCCCCAGTGTGAATTCTCTGATGCTGAGAAAGCTCTGAACTACTACCAAAGGTCTTGCCACACTCCTTACATTCATAGGGTTTCTCCCCAGTATGCACTCTTTGATGCTGAATAAGTTTTGAACCACTTCTAAAGGCTTTCCCACATTCCTTACACTCATAGGGTTTCTCACCTGTGTGAACTCTCTGATGCTGAGTGAGGTCTGAGCCACTGTTGAAAGCTTTCCCACATTCCTTACATACATAAGGTTTCTCACCAGTGTGAATTCTTTGATGACGAGTTAGGGCTGATCCAAAACTAAAGGTCTTCCCACATTCATTACATACATATGGTTTCTCACCGGTATGAGTTCTCCGGTGCCTAGTAAGAGCTGAACCACTACTAAAAGCCATTCCACATGATTTACATTCATAAGGTTTCTCACCAGTATGAATCCTCCGATGCTGAGTAAGGTTTGAACCACTGCTAAAAGTTTTCCCACAATCCTTACATTCATAAGGTTTCTCACCTGTGTGAATCCTTTGATGCCGAGTAAGGGCTGATTCAAAATTAAATGACCTCCCACATTCCTTACACTCATAAGGCTTTTCACCACTGTGAATTATCTGATGTCGAATAAGGCCTGATCCAAAACTAAAAGCCTTCCCACATTCCTTACATGCATATGGTTTCTCACCGGTATGGATTCTTTGATGGTGACTAAGGTTTGAACCACTGCCAAAAGTTTTCCCACAATCCTTACACTCGTAAGGTTTCTCACCAGTATGTATTCTTTGATGGTAAGCGAGGTTTGCACCACTACCAAAGGCCTTGCCACAGTCTTTACACTCATAAGGTTTCTCACCAGTATGAATTCGCTGATGTCGAATAAGGACTGATAGAAAAGTAAAATCCTTCCCACATTCCTTACATTCAAAGAGTTTCTCATCAGTGTGAATTGTCTGATCCTTGGTACTGAAAGTGGGCATGTCTTCAGGACTGTCTGAAATGTCCTTCCCGAGATAGCTCTTTTCTCTCAAACTGGCTTTTCCATTCCCAATCACCTCTGAAACTTGAACACTCAATGATGTGCTTTGTAAGTCTTTCCATTATCTCCCATCAGGATGATGCTATTCCATAAATATCCTTTTTCAGAAATAATTTCTTGTTCTCAACCTTGATTCACAGTCTGAAAAAAAATATAAAAGCAAACATTCACTTTTTCTTGTGTTCTGGGAGAAATGAAACTTTTATAATAGATATGAAAGACTTAATTGAAATTAACTCTCATAAAAAGTGAGTGGCTTATACAGTTTTCAAATATGATTGAGCAATTTGAGATACAGTTAAGGAAAACAGAAGGAGAAAATGTCACACTATAAAGGAGATAGTTAGAAAAATAGATTAGGTCAATTATTCCTAAACAGTGATCTAGATAAAAAATCTTTTGCAGAATTAGGGAGTTTATTAAATATACAGATGTCCTGGTCCCTTCCTGATTTTTAGAGGATGAGTCTAGCATCACATATACTTATAAATGAGTTATCATTATACCAATTTCATAAGTGTCACTGGAACAGAAAGTAAGTCTGAGAGGAAAAGTCTGGGATAGTCAAGTAGCAAACACAATTTGCATATAAAATAGAAAACGGTATCCCAGATGTAACAGTTTCCAGATGAGAAACTATTGCTGAATGAGTACAGAATAAGTAATGGAGAAGGAAGATTATTCTGTAGTCAGAATACAGTTTGTTTACTTCATTTGATAAAAGCAAGGTTTGCTTACAAAATCTATGAGGCTAACCTTAACAGAAAAATTAATAAAAGAAAACTCAGTGAGGACAGTAGGATAATTAACAATCTAAAAGTAGATTTACTTTAAAGGTAAAGCCAGAGAAAAGAGAATAAAGGAGTTACTCTGATACCACCAAAGATTACAAGGATAAAAACAAATGAAGATGGTGTTAGTCATTCTCCACCTTTTTTACTGCCTGCATCTTCAACCTGATATCCCCCATAACAGGAGGTATATAAATACTGGACTTTTCAGTCCTCCAAATGTACAAGACTTTATGCCCCACCACAATTTCATCTGTCTGAAATGTTATCTCTCTTTTCCCTTCAACCATTGTCCTTACTCTTAGCATTTCAAGTTTCTGCCTATCGTCCAGGTCTCTGCTAATTGGCATATCTTAATAGATATTTCCTGAATGTTCGGTCTTAATTATGTACATTCCACATTTTCAAAGCACTTCTTTGTTCCTTCATTTTTTTTTTGGTAGTGGGTAATTATACATTCATCTCTTATAATTGCAATTTCATGGTTTTATTTAATGCTGTTTAATACAATACAGCCAAGTATCATGAAGGCAAGAATAATGTGTTATTTAATCAACTTGAATCTCAGTGCATACAAAAGGATGAATACATTTATTAAATGGCTAATACATTAAATAACATTTTAAATTTCCTAAAAATAAGAGTTCTTCAGAAAGAGGGCATACTTTCTCTAAAAAATGGTATGTAGATCGTATGCAGTAATCCCTGCCCTTTCTAAGGGAACCTTTTTACTGACAGGAGGTTTTTTTTAAAAGGAACAAGGGTGGGCATAGCATAACAGGTTAAAGTACCTGCATCTCATATCAGAATGCCTAGGATTAATTGCTGCCTCTGCTTCCAACCCAGCTTCCTGCTAATACACCTGGGAGGAGCAGGTGATGCCCCAAGTACTTTCACTCCTGCCACCCATGTGGGAGACCTGGATGGAGTTCTGGAAAACTGGCTTCGGCCTGAATCAACCCCAGCTCTCGCAGGCATTTAGGGAGTAAACCAGCAGATGGAAGACCTCTTGCTCCGTTTCTTCTCTCTGTCCCTCTGTCCCTCTGCCTTTCAAATAAATAAATATTTTATAGAAAAGTAATATACAAAGTAAAAGTAAAAGAGAATTTTAGAGAAAAATTTGTACACAAAACATTTGAAGCTAGAAAGCATAAAGATAAATGATGACTAATTTAACAAATCGAAGAAAGATGAAAACTAAACTAAAAGTTAAGAAAAACTGAAAAGGAAATAATTTACGCTCCAGAACCACAAAATGGTTTATGAAATGGAGGCACTAAAAGTCGGCCAATCACATTAGGAAACGTACATCAGTTTCTTATCAACCAATCTAAAATACAAATAGATTACTACCTAGTAAAGATAGGACTCCCACATTCACAGAAGCATTATTCACAGTAGCCAAGATACGGAAACAACCTAAGGATCCATCTTTGAATGAATAAAGAAATTATAATATATAAATATATACATTTATAAATGCTATTGAATGATACATCAGAGCTAAGCTTCATGCAGGCAAGAATAATGTGTGTGTGTATATATATATATATATATATAAAATTATATTCCACACATGTGGATTTATGGTATGTCCTTAGTTCTTAGGAAATATCCATCAAATGTAAAATGTAAGATATCCCCAATTTATTTTCAAATGATTCAGGGGAAAATATATGTGTGTGTGTATTTTCAAAGACAGAGAAAATGTGGAAATACGTTACCAATTCATGAATTTAGGTGATGGGTACTATGGCCTTAATGTTTGTGTCTCTCTAAAATTCCCACATTCAAATCTAATCTTCTAAACGATGGTGTAAGAATATGGGACTTTGGAGGCCAGCACCATGGTGCAGCAGGTTAAGCCGCTGTCTGCAGTACTGCATCCCACGTGGAAACCAGCTTGAGTCCTGGATGCTCTACTTCTGATCCAGCTTTCCGGTAATGTGCTTGGGAAAGCAGCAGAAGATGGTCCAAGTCCTTGGGCCCCTGAACCCATGTGAGGGACCTGGACGAAGCGCCTGGCTCCTGACTTTGGACTGGCCCAGACCTGGTTGCTGCAGCCAACTGGAGAGTGAACCAGTATATGGACGATTTCTCTGTCTGTGTCTCTCCACTCTCTAAGTTTCAAATAAATAAATAAATCTTTAAAAATAAAAAAAAAAAAGAATATGGGACTTCAGAGAGGTGATTAGGTCATAAGGACAGTGGGATGAATGCAGAGCCCTCATGGACGGGATTAGTGCTCTATGACAGAGGCCATTGAAAGATACCTTGTCCTTTCTACCATGTGAGGACACAGAAAAGTTGTAAAAAGCAGGTTGTCATCAGATATCAAATCTGCTGGCATCCTGATTGTGGACTTTGGAGCCTATAAAACTCTAAGAAATAAATTTCTAAGCTATCCAGTTTATGGTATAGACATAAGAAACTATGACAATGGGCATACAGTATTCACTAGACTATTCTTTCAATTGCTCTCAATGATTAAAACTTTTCAATTAAAACAGAAAAAACAGATTTTTCTTGGAAGTAGCATTCAAGAAAATTTCCCAGAACTAGAAGAACTCAAATATCTACATTTAAGGGGTCAACTTGGTTCTTAGCATCAAGAATAAAAATGATTCACACTAAGATATATTTTCATTAGACTGTAGTACACTGGGAACAAGGAAAAGGCTCTTAAAAGTTCCAACAGGCCAAAAATAAAAATAGGATACAAACAAAAGATCAGGAATGAAAATGGCTTTGGAGTTTTTAACCTCAAAATAATCTTATAACCTCAAAATAACCTCATAATCTCAAAATTCTGAAGGAGAATTTACCCGCTGTGGCATAGTAGGTAAAGCCGCCACCTGCAGTGCCAGCATCCCATATTGGTGGTGGTTTGAGTCCTGGCTGCCCCACTTCTAATCTAGTTTTCTGCTATGGCCTGGGAAAGCACTAGAAGATGGCCCAAGTTCTTGGGCCTCTGCACCATGTGGGAGACCTGGAAGAAGCTCCTGGCTCCTGGCTTCGGATTGGCTATGTAACTCTGCCTTTCCAATAAATAAATCTTTAAAAAAAATTCTGAAGGAAAGTATTTCCAGTGTCAAATTCCATACTTTGCCAAAGAAATAATATAATGATTGTAAAATCATTTTCAGATATACTAGAACTCAAAAAAATCTGATTTTCATTCACCCTGAGCATGCCATCTCTATCAAAAAGGAGTAAGCCAAGAATAGGAAAACATAAAATAAAGAACAATATGGAAGGATACTGAATATTTTTAAAAGACAAATTCTAGGATAATAGTTGTATAAGCAGTTGGCAGACCAAAAAACCAAAAGATTATGGGAAGGATATTTCCAAACACAGGAAACTGACAGAACATATTAGGAAAAGACTGTGTCTCTGGTAGACTTGGAATGCAAATTAGTGATATAAGAGGGGTTTTCAAAAGTACATGGAAGGCATGTATTATGAAAATTATGTATGGCTTTCAAAAGATTTTGCATAAAAATAAATTTATTTTAATCCCATTTTCCAAGAATATTTTTTAAATTTATATATTAATCTGGGGGAGAGCGAGTGGGTGAATTCTCACTCACTGGTTCACTCCCCAGGTCCTTAACATCAATCCCCAGCTGGGTCTGAAGCTGAAATCTTGGGGAGTTCAATTCAGATCTCCCACATAGGTGGCAGGAATCTACTTACTTGAGCCACTACCACCGTCTTCCGAAGCCTGTATTAGGAGGAATTTGGAGTCAGGAGTGGCAAGGCGTAGCAAACCCAATTATTCTGGTATGGAATGTAGGTGTCTTAACCTGTAGGCCAAATGACTGCCCCTGGACAAATTACATGGAGAGCAAAGTTAACAACACTGCAAACATGATTTATATTTCAGCTATGGATAAAATCCATATAAAAAAACCACAGGAGAGGAGATTTGCAAAAATATCTGTCAGATAACTAGCATCCCATATAAAGATCATTCTCAAATCACAAACAGAAAGCTAAGCAAGAGAAAAGAAATCACTAAATAAGCAGAAACAGATCTGTTTATGTAATAAAGAACATGACAAGTCTTTATCCAGAGTTATAACAGAGGTTCCTAGTGCAGAATTTCTAAAAACTCCTTGGAATTTTCCAAGTGACAGAAATATCTTACTATTAGATCATATTTGAGTTTATACTAATAAATTGACTCATGACGCACCCCTACTACACAGTTAGTTGGTCATCAAAAACATTTAGAGCCAGCCTAATCTCTGAGGAAGCAGTAGGTCTAGAGATAAAATTCAGGGGCCGGCGCTGTAGTGCAGCAGGTTAAAGCCCAGGCCTGAAGCACCAGCATCCCATATGGGTGCTGGTTCTAGTTCTGGCTGCTCCTCTTCCGATCCAGCTCTCTGCTATGGCCTAGGATAAGTGAAGGATGGCCCGGGTCCTTGGGCCCCTGCGCCCATGTGGGAGACCCAGAGGATGGCCATTGAGGCTATTTGGGGAGTGAACCAGTGGATAGAAGACCTCTCTGTCTCTACCTCTCTCTGTAACTGTCTTTCAAATAAATAAATAAATCTTAAAAAAAATTTTCAATTATATGGCCTATCACTAACCAATCATTTCTGTATAATGAAACTCTAGTGAAAACTTTAGATTCTAACACTCAGCAGAACTTGATAGTTGGTGAACATACTGGTGTGATGTACCAGAAGGGGACATGCTCCAATTCCACAAAGGAAGACTGCAGAACCTCATGCTTAGGATCTTTCTGGATCTTGTTCTACATGTCTCTATATTTTGTTGTTCCTGACTTGTATCCTAATCATCTATCTAAGACTATAATTTTCAGGATAGTGCTTTCCTTAGTACTGTGATCACTGTGGTAAATTACTAATCCTGGGAAGGAGGCAGACATAGAAGCCCCCAGTTTTGTAGCCAGTTGGTCTGAAGCAGTGGCAGATTTACTGAGGACCAGGTGGGCTCTTAAACTGAACAACACTAATTCTGGTGGTTAGTGCTGGAGCTGAATTTCAATACACCAGATGGGGTTAAAACAGAATAACATATGCTGTTCACAGATTGGAAAACAATATTGTCAAGATGGCAATACTCCCCAAAGTGACCTACAAATTCAATGCAATGGTTAGCAAAACTTCAATAGCCTTTGGAAAAATGAAAAGGACAACTGTCAAATTCATATGGGACAGGAATAGGTCCTCAATAATATTGAAAAGAAAAAAATAAACTAGCAGGACTCACTCCTCCCGACTTTAAAACTTATCACAAAGCTATGGTAATAAAAATAGTGTGATATTGGTATAATGACAGAAATACAGATCAATGAAACAGTACCAAGAATCCAGAAATAAATCCAAACATCTATGGGTAATTGATTTTCAACAAGGATTATAAGTCCTCCCAATGGGGAAAGAAAAGTCTCTTCAACAAACGGTAATGGGACAGACAACCAGATAAACACAAGGAAGAGAATAAACTCAAACATCTATCTATCTTACTCCTTATAAAACATTAACTCAAAGTGAATCAACAATTTAATAGAAAAGCTAAATCATAAAAGTATTTCATGAAAATATAGGGATTTGTAAATCTTCATGATCTCAAATTTGGCAATGGAGTCTTAATTTGACACTGAAAGAATAAGAAATGAAAAAAATACATCAATCTGAATTCATCAAAGTTTTGTGCTTCTACTAGGTATAAGGTGTTTTTATGAGCTGATGGCTGCACAATACTGTTAATACATTCAATACCACTGAATTATATACTTTAAAAAGGTTAACTTTTAGGCCGGCGCCACGGCTCAATAAGCTAATCCTCCACCTGTGGCGCCGGCACACCGGGTTCTAGACCTGGTCAGGGTGCAGGATTCTGTCCTGGTTGCCCCTCTTCCAGGCCAGCTCTCTGCTATGGCTCAGGAGTGCTGTGGAGGATGGCCCAAGTCCTTGGGCCCTGCACCCACATGGGAGACCAGGAGAAGCACCTGGCTCCTGGCTTTGGGTCAGCACGGTGTGCCGGCCGTGGCGGCCATTGGAGGGTGAACCAACGGCAAAAGGAAGACCTTTCTCTCTGTCTCTCTCTCTCTCTCACTGTCCACTCTGCCTGTCAAAAAAAAAAAAAAAAAAAAAGTTAACTTTTTCTTACGTGAATTTCACCTAAATCAAACAAATTTGAAAAACAGAGGGGCCGGCACTGTGGCATAATGGGTAAAGCTGCCACCTGCAGTGCCAGCACCCCATATGGGCGCCAGTTCAAGTCCTGGCTGCTCCACTTCCAATCCAGCTCTCTACTATGGCCTGGGAAAGCAGTGGAAGATGGCCGAGTCCACATGGGACACCTGGAAGAAGCTTCTGGCTTCGGATCAGCAGAGCTCCAGCCATTGCAGCCAATTGGGGAGTGAACCAGCGGATGGAAGACCTCTCTCTGCCTCTCCTTCTCTCTCTGTGAAACTCTGCCTTTCAAATAATTAAATAAATCTTAAAAAAAAAAAAAAAAAAAAAAAAAACAGAAAATCAGCCAACTGAAATGAAAATATGTTCAGTAAAGGTGATAATGTAAATTAAAACCCTAATGAGTTATCACTAAATATGCTATAGAAGCAAAAAGTATGATGATTCCAAATGTTAGCAGAGGTGTGGAACAGTAGGAAAATGTACTTTATTGAAAGTAGAAACTCATACAATCACTTTGAAAAAGAGTTTGCCACTATCTAGTTTAACATGCATATTCCCTGTGACTCAGCAATTCAGCAACTATGAAAAATATGTACGAGAATGTGCCTAATAGTTTTTAACAGCAGAAATGTATACAACTCAATTATGTACAAAAAATTATATTGGATAAAATATACTGTAATGTAGTCATAAAATTTATGAAACAAAATGAAATAACACATAGCAGTGACAATGAACAAGATACATCTAAACTCTTCAACATGAATTAAAATAATATTAAAAGAAATTGGGGTAGGCATTATGGCATGGTGAGTAAAGCTGCCACCTGTATGGGCACCAGTTTGTGTTCTGCATGCTCCACTTTCAACCCAGCTCCCTGCTAATGGCCTGAGAAAAAAAGCAGAAGATGGCCCAAGTGTTTGGATCCCAGCCACCCAGGCAGGAGACCCGGATGAAGCTCTAGCTCCGGCCTAGCCTAGTACTGGCTGCTGAGGCCATATGGGAAGTGAACCATGATGGAAGATTGTAACTAACTGATTTTCAAATAAATTAATTAATTAAAAAAAGTAACAAAGATTCATATATAATGATTCAATTTATAAAAAGTTTTAAAGCAGGCAAGAAAAGGATATTTTGGAAAAATGAAAAAGACAATTGCCAAATTCACATGGGATATTTTTTAGGGAAAAATAAAAAGTTGGGAATTTTTTAATAGTAACAGAAGAGAGATTTAAAAAAAAATTTATTTATTTATTAGAAAAGCAAAGTTACAGAGTAAAGCTACCACCTGCAGTGCCGCCATCCCATATGGCACTGGTTCGAGTCCTAGCTACTCCACTTCCGATCCAGCACTCTGCTACGGCCTGGGAAATAAGTAGAAGAAGGCCCAAATCCTTGGGACCCTGAACCCACGTGGGAGACCCAGAAGCCTCTGGCTCCTGCCAAAATCCAAAAGGCTAACAAATTTTAGAGTTGGTAAGGGATTTCACAAAACTGTAAGAAATAGACCAGACAACAAGAGCTACTTCTGCATCTCTTACACACCAACAAAAGCAGAAAAATAACATGTATGTAGACAAAATTATAAAAATGGACTGAGATTTTAAGCAATACCTATAAATGGCAATGCCATTCCTTTGAAAAGATTTATTTATTTATTTATTACAGTTAGACTTACAGACAGACAGAGAGAAAGCTCTTCCATCTGCTGGTTCATTCCCCAAATGGCCGCAAGGGCCAGAGCTGTGCCGATCCGAAGCCAGGAGCCAGTAGCTTTTTCTGGGTCTCCCACATGGGTGCAGGTCCAAGGACTTGGGTCATCTTCTACTGCTTTCCCAGGCCACAGCAGAGAGCTGGATCGGAAGTAGAGAAGCCAGGACATGAACCAGTGCCCATATGGGATGCTGGCACTGTAGGTGGAGGTTGAGTTCACCACAGTGCTGGCCCCAGCAATGCTATTTGTTATGAACAAAAAATATCAATTTTGTAAAGGTAACAATTTACCCACATTGATCTATATAGTCAATGCAATTATAACCAAAATCATGAATTTGTCATGGACCTCAATAAGATGATTCTCTAACTCATATGGAACAATAAAGAAGCAAGACACTCCTTAAACTAGAAAGATATGCTTTATCAGATGTGAAGACTTATTATAAAACAAATAAATAATTGGGCTGGTGCTGTGGCATAGTGGGTAAAGCTGCCGCCTGCAATACCGGTATCCATATGGGCGTCAGTTCGAGTCCCTGCCGCCCCACTTCTGATCCAGCTCTCTGCTGCAGCCTGGGAAAGCAGTGGAAGATGACCCAAGTCCTTGAGCCCCTGCAACCATTTGGGAAACCCAGAAGAAGCTCCTGGCTCCTAGCTTCGGACCGGTACAGCTCCAGCCGTTGCAGCCAATTGGGGAGTGAACCAGTGGATGGAAGATCTCTTTCTCTGCCTCTGCCTCTCTAATAAATAAATAAATAAATAAATCTTTCTAAAAAAGAAACAAATAAGTGACTAAAGCCTTGGTACAGGAATGGAAAAACAGAACTGTGACACATAAGGCAAAGCCAGAAACACACTCAAACAAATACAGAAATTTTTATCAGACAATCCTGGCGTTGTACAACAGTGAAAAAAGAGATGGGCCACTCAAGAAAAAA